TTATCAGTTAAATGGTTATTTCCTATTTTATGCTCATCTCTTATCTTTTCCTACCTTTTCGTCTGCGTCAATTTTTGCTCGTTTTTTTATCAAAATATAAAATTGTTAATAACAATTCAGAATTAGTTATGTATTACATTTGAGGGTTGTATACATTTCAGATCAGACAGTTGAATGATTTTTTTATTCAGATATTAAACCAGTAATCAAGTGAACAGTATCTACGAAGATTCACCATCACTTACTTACTTACTTACTTACGCCTGTTACTTCTCGTGAAGGATCATAGGCCGCTCACCAACATTCTCCATCCAACCCTGTCCTGGGCAATCCTTTCTAGCTCCGTCCAGTTGTAATTCATCGGTTTCATATCTGCTTCTATTATCCGACGCAATGTGTTCTTTGGCCTTCCTCTTTTTCGCTTCCCTTCAGGATTCCAAGTTAGGGCTTGCCTCGTGATGCAGTTTGACGATTTGCGTAATGTATGTCCTATCCATCTCCATCGTCTTTTCCTAATTTCTTCTTCAGCTGGAAGTTGGTTTGTTCTCTCCCACAGAAGGCTATTGCTGATGGTATCCGGCCAATGGATGTTGAGTATCTTGCGTAGACAGCTATTTATAAATACTTTTACTTTCTTGATGGTGGTTGTTGTAGTTCTCCAAGTTTCAGCTCCATACAGTAGAACTGCCTTGACGTTCGTATTGAAGATTCTCACTTTGATATTGGTTGAAAGTTGTTTTCAGTTCCATATGTTCTTCAATTGTAGGAATGCGACCCTTGCTTTGCCGATCCTCGCCTTTACGTCTGCATCGGATTCTCCTTGTTCATCGATGATGCTTCCCAGGTATGGGAAGGACTCTACATTTTCCAGAGTTTCGCCATCAAGTGTGATTGGATTGCTGTTCTCCGCTTTGAATTTAAGGACCTTAGTTTTCCCTTTGTGTATGCTGAGGCCTACTGATGCAGAGACTGCTGCTACACTGGCTGTCTTCATCTGCATCTGTTCGTGTGTACGTGATAGGAGGGCTAGGTCACCATACTACATATTAAAACTATCGGTTCTTATCTATTTCAGTCATTCATTCACAACGTAGGATCTGGCACATATATGCATTGGTCCAAGTTGCCACACTTCATTAGCACGACAAGATTAACACCAAATTTATAGAAACCGTTACATCAATAGTAGCAATATACAAAAAATTGCACACAACAATATGATAAAGAAAGAAAGAATTAATTCGTAGAAAGAAAAATATACAGTAATTTTAATCTCGTAATTTAAGGGAAAACAGATTGATTCTGAGCCATGTCGCTCAGAGACTCCAGCCACTGGTTACGATAGTTGCACGGACCCCAACCAATTAGTGTACATTTACCAACACGGCTCGGATCAGGAGTTAGTGAATTAATGAACTGATACCACTTTTTGGTTTGGCCGCCCGTAACTTTCTACTATCCTTCTCCAATACTAGTCAGAATTTAAAGTCTTTTATCGTTTTTTAATTCTCTCCTTATTTAATCAATCATTTATGATTAAGTAACACTAATTATTTACATCCATCGTATTTGAACTAGTTTAGCGAAATTCATTTAAAATTATATAAAGATAAAAATCACAAGAACTATTACGAGCATGATAAATAAACGAAAAAAAGGAATAACAACTTTATTTATAGCCGACTGATTGAGCATTGGCCAATGTTATATCTATCTAGTCCATTAATCTTGATGGGATTCTGTCGATCAAGTTGCGACGTGATCACTGATGTAAAAGACTCAAAATCGTGTCAGATAGTAAGGAGTAGTGAGTAGGGCTTCTTGCTGAGTAATCGCAACCATCTAGTTAAATAACTCTATTTAATAACCACTGAATGAATGGGTTATTTTAATTCATTTATATTGGTTGTGTGAATCTTCCCATTGATGTTTAGGACAACGAATGATCAGTTTCTTGTGTGGATTGTCGTTAAGTCACAAACAATTTTACGCAGGAATGGATGGTGGCTCGTTCTATCCGGTTCTTATCAGCTGCATTTAGTTGGATTCCAGAGTTGATGTCCACTCCGGGACTCGAAGTAATTAAACTACACTCCACTAAACAAACAAGTGGTTACCTGAACTCATTAGATAAGTGAATAATGCTATAGCTTTTCAAGCGAACGGTAGTGAATTCGTGTCTCAGAGTGAATATTACTTATAGAACCCAAGTACGTCCAGCTGACAAATTACTAATAAGACGAAACCCATGTCCTGGATTTCACTGTTAACCACTATCCATCACTGCTTAGATTACTCGTGAATGTGTTTATTTAGTTTTAAAAAATTTATTATTTTTTTCATAATGGCTAAGAAGGGTGAACAAAACACCACTATAATGTTGTCAACTAGTATGTATCAAACTTTAGTTTTAGAACATTTGACAACACTTCACATTTGTTTTAGCTTAAATACCTTCGGATTAACAAACATAATTTATCTTTACGAATTATTACTTCAAATACATTAATAGAATTTAACACCTTTTATATTTCAATAGTTGAAATCATGAGTCAACTGAAGCTAAACCACAATGGAAAACCTAGAAGCACTGGACGACCGTTTCGTCCTAGTATAGGACTCCTCAGCAGTGCGCATCCACGATCCCGCATCGCGAGATTCGGACCCAGAACCTATCAGTCTCGCATATTCAAACAAGTAGGGGTCAATCAAATAATTTCAACTTAAATTCATTTGCATTCTATCTGGTTGCATGACCCGATAGGAAATTTGAACAATTATTTCCTTTACGGAATCATCATTATCAAACATTATGTAGAATGAAGAGATTCTCATTAAAATAAATCATAAATAATGAAAATAATTTACAAAAAATCGATAACACAAATGATGCAAATACATGATAAGGTAAAATAAAAGTTTAATATTAAATCAATAAACTTATTACCCATTACATTTATTAACATTAATAATCAGTAATTGAATATGGTTAATTAACAAGTCGCAAAATAATTAATTCATTCATTCATTAATTCTCTTTAGTTACTTATACATAATTATTTATATGTACAATCAAATTTATTCAGTGTTCAAATTAAGATTTCATTTTGTTTATTGTTATATCTCGATGAGAATAATGAATGGTAACTGATGGAATCTATTTCTGGACTTATACTAAACATTGATCTTTAAATTGCGAAATTGTTAAATAACTAAACTATTCATATTCGTGTTTTTTTACTACAAGCTTTATTTTGACCTATGAACTATTATTATACGATTTACCATTCTTGAGTTATACCCAATCTATCAGTTAATATCTCCCTTATTCACAGCCACATTTGGGTAAATCTTGTACAAATGTTGTTTCCTGGTTTATGGTACGATGTAGTCTCTTTGGTTTGTATATAAACCCATTACTTTTGAAATAAATGATTCATATCGCAGAGTGTGAGATTTGTGTTCTGGACTTTACCGACAGGGCTAAGCAGGAAACAGAACCGATAAGGACACTAAACTGCTCGTACGGCTTTATGTGTCGTTGGTCCGATCGATAGTTCTTTTCTCTAATTGGCTATATCATTACGTTATATAATGATAGGAATACAATACCATTTACTAAGTTTATTAATCAAAAATGATGCTTTGCATCTGAAAACCTCAGATCTACACATATTTTGCATTTGGTAAACTTCAAATCTAGTTAGTATCTATGTTAAATGTATACATTCTATCTTTAACTATATTTAAATGAATTGATTTGATTCAACTTATCAATGATTTTTTGTTTAGGTGACGGTTCGATCTAACACTCGTTCATTATTACTATTCGTTATTTCATTTCATTTCACTTCATACTTTACACAATCTATGATCAAACATTTTATCTCTTTCATCTCCGACTATTCATATTTGATTCAATGGTTAATATTACACTTCCGAATGACTTACAATTTGGAACAAGTACACATTATGCAATAGTAATCTTATTACTAACGAAGTTGTTTTGGAAACGATTCTATCTTTCAACAGATACATTTGCTTTGAACTTGGCTATCTTCTTGAATCAAGTATTTGAACTAGTAATTTAAGAATCTGAAAAGAATATTCTATGCCTAAATATATCTTCCTAATAGTGAGAATTTATTTATAACCAGATGAAATATGATAATTAATATATTTCTTTGTTATATCCCAAACAGTAGAAAAATTTTATTGCTGACATTTCGTGACATAATGTAAACCATTTCTTCAGATTAAATAAATAACTGAACTATTTAACCGAGTTGTTTAGTTATTCTAAAGAAGCAGCTTACATTAAGTCACGAAATGTCAAAAATAAAAAAATTGTTTATTGTTTGGGATATAAAAAATATATTGATTATTAACTTTCTACTCAATATTTCATTTATTTAAAACTATCAAGTTTCAACCTTGGCATTGATACCTACAAATGAAATATGAATGTAATTGATACTGTGTTAGCTTTATAATTAATCTAGAACAACATATATCAGCGAACATTATATCTCACTGTCTATATTTTTCTAATCATTGACCTATTTCCGATTATGTAATATTGATTTGAGCCCTTACTATTCTTATCAAAAACTAATACACCTGTTATCACACTACCAATTTGTACTTTGCACTTTTCACTTATTATGTAATCGTTTTCATTGTTATCATTGACTTATAAACTACCTTGATTGGTTTAATAATTTCGTATATGCATATAAATATTACTGTATATTAGAGTAAAGCCTGATGAGGATCTAATCGAAAACGATATTGTTCGCTTATATATGTTGTTCTAAATTTACAATATGGGAATATTTCAAATTATAATTAATCAACAATATTTTCCACTTAATAAGTAAGAAAATACTCTAATATTCCCTATTTTAAACAAGTTAAACCGTTTCGATCACTAAGGTCTTACTATTCATTAACAAAATTTGTATAATGCAAACATTTTATATTAAATAAATACAACTTACAGGTTGTTGACTCATTGTTTGCATTAATAATAATAGTTTTCACAATGAATTAATAACTGACATTGTTTTTAATTGATTTGAACTAGATGTTTAGATTAAAATATTATATACTACTTATTATAATAAACAATGATTGTAACTATGGTATCAATCAAATAAATTTCCAATTATAATCATATTGATATATGACTAAATTTGAAAGAAATAATCATTTGTACAGTTAATATTCTATTTATATATATATACATATATCATTGATATTAATGATCAACACTGTGTATAGGTATATTCTTTTAGAATAAATAAACTGAAATTAATAATGTTGACTTTTTTTTCCTACTTTAGATTTTATTGGTTCATTATTGATTTTATGTAGAACCAGTAAAAATGAACTGATTGGTCAATATTATTCATCTTTTTTTGATATAATTTTTTTTCTTGGCTATTTTTCCCTTCTATGTTCATGTTTATGTTCCTTTTGTTATTTCTTGTTTGTCTTAGTTATTTTTATATGATAATAAAAATAGAATAATGATAAATAGCTAAATTTTAAATATATATATATGCCATTTTCATTAAATTCTTGTTTCTAGGCAAAATTTCCATCAAACAAACGAATAGAAGGATAAAAGATAAATTTACCTATAACCTGGTATTCAAGGTGTTAGTTTATATTAAAAGAGTAACAAAAAAGCTGTAAAAAATAGTCAAAAATAATTTGTTCCATATGAACTAGATAGTGTAATGAATTCTTAATACAAACGATAGATTTAACATTATCTTAAAAGGTGTTCATCACATAGTGAAATTAAGCGAACCACAATTGTTTCGTTCTAGTTTTAGACTTTTTATTGGTAAGCACTCCAAATTTCATAGCTGTTCAGTACTTCCTGGTCTATAGTAGTGAAATGCAAACACATTTCAACTGGAAGCTACTTTTTTCTTAAGTAGTCAGTGTATTCTTATGAATGTTAATTGGTTCGCTTACTTGATTTCAAAAGGTCTAGTTGGAAATGCCATAATTACAAATGAATTCCGAAGCTTAAAGTCTACTTCTCACCAAATACAAATACTCATGATAAAAATTTGAAACTCTGGTATTGCATAGTATCAATAAAAGATTTAATTTAGATTGGAAAATTGTATATCCCCTTCAAATATTATTGATTTTCGTTTTGACGTGGATGTGTTCATCAGTAATTCATTGAGAATAAAAACACTTCATCACTACTAATATAATTCTGGATCGTAAACATTGATCTTATCCTAAAGATTTAAACTCACATCTAACAATTCTACAATAGCAAATTATACTACTAAACTAATTGAGCTGCTACTGATTTTTGATAAGAATGAAATGTTTTGAATTGACTAGCCAACATCTTATAATCAATGGAATGTTCTTCAGTTTTCAAGAATAAATAACGTCTATCAAGATGCAATTGATTATTTTTATTGATATAAATTAAAACACTGCAGATATCAGCGATATCCTTCTAAATAACAGTAATACTCATATTGTAATTGTCTATAACTTTCAATGAATTGATTCATCTTTCTATTTTTTTAAATGATAAATTTTACTGAAAATCGGATTCTGAAAAGGTTTATATTAGATCGCTTTATTTTTTCACTGTTATAGTTCGATATTGTTGTTACTTTCAAATTATAATCCTACAATATCTCTGGCTTTTGATGTAAAACGGACATTTAATTTTTTTAAACGTTTCTTGCTACTACTACTACTGTGGTGCATGCCACTTATATTGATATAAGTAGTATATGACGCGAGTCACGAATGTAATGTCTGGAGGCAGAAGATGGAGGAAGATGAAGCAAGCAAGAGCTAGAATAGAATGCAATTTGTATGGAAATGTAAGAACAATGAAGTCCGAAGCATTTTGAGACAACTGGTGGACATTTTGCAAATTAACCATTTAATACATAGTTCTCAGATTTTATTGAGATGCTCTGTAATTTTGTGTCAAATACATTCGATTGTCCCACCCGTGTTCTTGTTCACTACACTACTCCTATTAGTACTTGTTATTCAGATTCACTTAGGTGTGAAGGAGAAGTTCCAGATATTTCTAAATAATAATAATCTTCAATAAGGCCTAGATATAATCTCTGACATCGGAAGTTCATCATTATCGATAGTATTAAATTGTATTTAGTTTGAACTTCATTTAGATTTCAAACTTCAACTTAAGTTCATATTAGTATATGTTGAAATTTAAAGTTCTCATCCACTTTATGTATATCGGCCGCATAACATAAATTCATGTAATCTATTCCACTTCATATTGATGAAGCTTTATATCAATATGCTTATGACCATGAGGGAAAAAAAACTTACCTCATAGTTTTAACAATCCATTTCACACAATTACTCTGAACAGCAAAATTATTCATTCGTTTTGAGATAATATGACTTTTTAGTTGATTTGAAACTTTGATGCGTTCAACGTTTATCACTTTCTTGATTTTTTTCAGAAAATTCTTATTTTGAATCGATCATACTTGCTATGAGATATTACACAGATCAATTTCAGTATTCTACTCTAAATTAACATTTTTTTTGTAAAAATTGTATCAGTGAAAATATAACTTCAGATTAAAATACTTTTGAATTCCTATAAAAATTGTGTTACTTGTTCGAAATAAAAGTTGAATTTTTGTTCTGCATACTTATTCATTATTTAAACACATAAATCTTGATACAAAGAGGCACCAGACAGATATGCGCCACATAAATCATTCGATTTGTATGAAGGCTACGATACTACTCGGGTGACCAGACCAAAGCAGGTGGTTTTCTTAAGGAACCACACCTGGAGCCTTTGACCTAAAGGTCTAATCCACCAGGCAGGAGAGCGACGTCAGGAGGTGCATTTCCGTAGTAGCCGGTGACCAACAATAGGTTCATGCACCATTTATTTCCTCAGGATCCTGTAACCCATTTGCATCATCGGTTTGCAATCAAGGTTTTCCAACTCCCCTAGGTGGACTCTCTGCGTCCGCCAACCCGGATAAAGCACTGGACATTCCCTTTTTGTCCTCTCAATTTTGTGAACAACACACACGTCGCTAGAAGGCAATGAGTAGAACTTCACTGGTAATGACTGTATACGCGTGGCCATGTGAGAGCATTTGGAGTAAGAGCTGACTCTACCCACTCTCGACCATACGAAGGCATTTGGGTTTTTATGGTTAAATGTTTATTTTCATTGTTGAAATACATTCTAATATTTATGAAATATCCACTTTTCCTAAGGTTGAAAATAGAAAATCATTCTTCATATTTAATGTTTCAAACATAAATAGAAAAATTCTCAAATATTATTTAACCCATTACACTAACTCCTATTTCAAACTAAAACTCTACAATTTAATATTATTTTAAATACAATATCTTCGAATGTAGCTGATCTTTTCAAATGGTTACATTACTCAAATTTTATAAGTATAAATCCATCTAAACAACTAGAACACCATAAAAGTTTCTTGACAGAAATGCTAAACAAAAAAATATTGTACATTTGCTAAACAAATATGAATCATAAATATCAAACATTTAAAATGTTATATGCATAAACAAATCTAAATCTTTGAATTCAGTAGTCTTCGGTGGTGTTTTTTCCAGTAATAGAAAATTATATATAAATACACTTGATTTTGTTTACTTGAAGCTTTCGATTGATGTTTAGGACTCCAATTGATCAGTCTCTTATTGGCATATGTGCATGCTGTGCGTATTGCCTTGATATTGCATTAATATACAAACATTATAAGGAAAGATGGATAGTGGCTAGCAGTGGAATCCAGGACGCGCATTTCACTCTATTTTGGACTCATCAGCTGGATGTGCCTGCATCTCAGTGTTGATGTTCACCCCCGGACTCGAACCCAGTACCGTTCGCTTAAAATACCTTCACGTTATCCACTTAGCTACTGAGTCCTGATAGCCACCTGCTTGTGCTATAGGGTGAAGTTTAAATTTACTTAATATTGTTTACTTGAATCTTTCCATTGATGTTTAAGATGCAATTGATCAGTCTCTTATTGGCATATGTACATACTGTGAGTATTGCCTCGATATTGTTTTAAATAGTTTAAAATAATTTTTTTTGAACTGTCAGTAATTCTCAGAATAAAATATCATTACAATAGAGGTCTTATGGTTCATTGAAACTATTCTGTTCTATGTAAATGTTTATTTTATGTATTAAACTTTTGTATTCGCTTTAACAGAAACTATAGAATTCTATTCATGCACTCAATACAATATACCTACAGCAGTTTTTTTTTTCTTTAATAATAAATTTCCTATTACCTATTTTGTACAGTTTAGATGTATCATTATTGATCTACTACCTAAATGTTTGTTTTAGAAAGTTATAGATCTGTTTCGTGTTGTTTTGTTTACTTTAGTACAAATACTGAAATTTGTTATTATTAGGAAAAAAAATGTTGTACATCGATGCTGTTAGTTAAATGTGCATGGCAACCAAAAAATTGTTCTTTTTTACAATGAAGAAAATCAAAAGTATATATTAAGTTGTAAACAGTAGATAGTGAAAAGTAGTGTAATTATTTTTCTTTGAGGTATAATATACGAATATTGATTAATTCAAGAAAAATCAAACATTACAGATAAAAGAAAGATGAAGTTATAAAAAGTAAGAAAAATGATTAATTGAATTGTTTACTTTTTAATACAGAATAGCTAGGTTTAAAGCTATTACAAGTTCACTTAATGTGCGAACGAGAACAAGACTTGGTGACCAAAGACCAATAAGCTAGCTATTGATGCGTTCCAGCCCCGCTAACTAGAGGAAAAAGTCAAAGCTTGGAATGGGGAAGCATATTCTGCAAAAACCAGAAGCACGAGCGATACCAACAAATACAATTCAAAACGTATATATACAGTGTAAAACCGTCCTTGGAGAGAGTTACAAAATGTCATACTAAAAGACACAACGGACCAATAGCATTTAAGATATTTCCGAGTGGGAAATACGACATGAAGGTGAAAAGAGCGCTTTTGGTGCGAAAACAAAGAAATTAAGATTTTCTAAATAAAATTACAAAATTAGGTCCTTTTTCAAGTGATTTCTGGGGATCTAACGTTCCTAACAAGAATAAAGATTTTTTTCTATTTGATGTCAGATTATGTTTTAGAATAAATAAGTTAGAAGCAGTGTTAAATTCTTTACAATGTTAAATGATTAAACTTGGACATTTCATCAAGTAGCTCAACTTCATACTAATATCCATATACCTTCATTCCA